TAAGTACTGTCCTTGTATCCACGTTCACATGGTTTACTCCTAACTTTTTGAACAACCGCACTTCTTTTTTACCTTGACACTGAATCCGGTTCACTTTGTCAACTGTCATCATATATATGTATGCTGTCAATAACTGAATAAATGGTGTGGTTTTTGCCACGAGGACGGCCGAAAGCATTGCTGACTGTCGCAAAGTGCTGAGCTCATATGCCGCACAGCAACATCGCTGAGTATCCCCTGACACTCGTTGTTAGATGAATCGAATGACCTTCAGTGAAACACGCACGCAAGGCATACAATTGCACAAATAATCACTAGACTGCACCAGTTAACACTTTTCTGCGAACTGTACAAATTTCGTTTGACTTGTACCTGTGCGACCAGTGTTTATTCTTGATGGGTTTCCATAACTGAACCGTTTTGGGTCACCCGGGCCTTCTGCTTACATGGATGGGATAACGCTCGTTGGTAATACGCTCTGGGTAGAACATCTCATCAGTGTTACTGCACTGTGTATCATCTAATGGCAGTTTTGTATCTGCCCTCCAGCTATTTTCTGCATCAGTAAGGGCTAGGCATATTTAGATAGGCGATCGCAAATCGTGCATAAAACAGGTTCCAACTTAAACCACGTGTAATTATCACTCAACTATAACTTTTTTTCTTAAACAACACCTCAGGAAAATACAAGGTTTTAATAAAACTGATGTCAATTGTATGTGTGCACCGAGGGGCCGACTTTTCAACCGGAAAGGGAAATGAAAAATTCGAATGCTTTAACATCAGGTTCCTCTTTTTTTTGACATTATGGATAACATCCTCCACTTTTCTGTCTGTCTATCATCTCGTTTTACCGCCGCCATAAATCAGTGTTCATTCTTATCCAGATCCCATGTCCCATTTAGAAAAAAAGTCAACACAGCAAATCTATTCTCTCTAGCATTGACTATAGAATAAACATGCTAGCTGGCTGATTGAACCGGTCTGTTTGTGTGCACATGAAACTGCACGCACTTACTGCTAGTCCCACTGCGGTTCTATATTGGACCGATTTGCATCACCTCTCTTTGACGACCAGAATCAAGAGAGCTGATTAAAATCTACTTGTGACTGTTTGTCGTTGTATTGATTGACTGCGATGGCTCGGTCACGGTTTGCTGGAAGTTTCCATGCCCTCATACACAGTTACAAGGATGTCTTTTTACTTCCTTTTTTATTTGCTGAATATGCAATTGTACAGTCAACTTACGTACCTACGTACATACACACATACATTGCTAAATAATTTTTTCTTTTTCCGTCTGCTTCTTTGTTATTTTTTCGGCTATGTTCTCCCAAGTTTCGTGTACTCCTCCGTTTTTGCATTGTGCTCTAATAAGTCGATCATTCATTGAATAGTTCAAGGAATTACATGTTCTTGTCCGCAGTGGTCGGCCTCTCCGAAGTCGTTTCCTATTCCGAAAGACTCGCAAAATAGGTTACCTGTTTCGATACCGTTCTTTTATCCTTACCTCGGGGAAATTCATACTCATATTCAGTGTTATTTCCCCCCTGGCTCCGTGACAACAAACTAATCTTTGATACATAAAAGAACAGTTCCGATTCAATTTAGAAATTCCATCACTTCATTGCTATTTCTCCTTTTTTATTTATTATTTTTACACTATTGTTTTCATTCTGGTACCCATGTGCAATCACTTGTTTTTCCCGTTTGTGTCATTTAGATATCGGAATCCGGTGTCAGTCAGCAGTTCGTTCAGTCATGTACCACACGTCCGGCATCGAGAGGCAAGCATGCCACTGGACGTTCTTCCAGTCTAGGACTGGCCGGACCTCCAGGGGGTGTTCCTCTTCTTCGTGCTGTTGGTACTGCAGCGGCCTCTGTCGGTATGCCTTTAGTCGGACGATCAAGCTTGACCTCATGGCTCCATCCAAGCGGCCAGAAGACAACCGGAGAACCGGTTGTCGATTCAGTTAATGGTGACGTAACCAAAGGTAATAACTTTTATGGGATCCTATCTCATTCTGACTTTCCCTTTCCCATTGAGTTTTTTGAAGACTGTTTGCCTGGATTTTTATGAAACCAAATGTCAAGTAAAATGTTTACTCTCCTTCATCAGACTCACGTCGCGATCAATCCAAGTAAACCATTTGTGACTCATTAATATCCGGATACCTTTCGAATTTCCACATTGTATTTCTTTTTCGAAATAGTACTTCACTTGGTATGAGTGGCGTACAACCATTTGCGATTTGTTCTGATCGAGTAGGGAGTTCCAAGCTCCCAATAAGCAACCTATTATCCTTATTGCGACAACCCCTCCCCCCCCCGCGGGCTCGAAACTCTTATCCATACCAAGTTCAATTCTGAGTTTGCTGGGACCAGATCCCTATTGTTTGACTGAAAGGTAGTTTTATAAATTGAAAGACACAGTTACGTGTAAGGCATCGCGTCTTGTGCTAGTTTAAATAGAACGCTTAACGCCAGAGTGATGTCAAGCAAATATGAGCTGCCTCAACCACACCGTGCTCTTCCGCTACGAGTCGTGACCTCGTAGACTCCATTACTAATTTAATGCGTGACATATGGTCACACGACCGCATTCCATCATCTTGGAGGGAATCACTGATTGTCCCAATTTTTAAGAAGGGATCTCGCAACGACTGCGCAAACCACCGTAGAATAAGTTAAGTTCCAGTCGTCACCAAGTTACTGGCCTTTATCATAATTCGACGTTCGGTGCCGTTTAGGGAGACAAATATCCTCGAAAAACAAGCAGGATTTCGACCAGGTCGATCAAATCTTCACTCTGCGTCAAGCCTTTGAGCTACGCCATACGCACCGTCGACCGACGGTTATCGTGTTCCTTGACCTAAAAGGAGCCTTCGACTCAGTTGATCGTAAATCTCTTATGGGTTTGCTTCCTCGCAAAGGAATGCTGCAGAAGTAGGTGAACCTACTGAGTTTTCTGTACTCATACTTTTGGTAGCGTAAGGATCTACGGCGAGCTGAGTAGGTCGTTCTTAACTAGCAGCGGTGTTCGTCAAGGGTGCCCTCTTTCGCCATTCCTGTTCAATTTCGTGATAGACAGAATATTGGAGAACATACTAAGTGGTCTAAAATATGTGGGTATTGAATGGGCAGCTGGAGAAAAGCGGTGCTATTTGGAGTACGCTGATGACACCGTCTGCTTGTTCGAATGTATGGAGGATGCAGAAGGAACACTTGACAGATTAGCAAGTTCTGTCGCTCCGTTTGACATGTGCTTTGCATCTTCAAAGTGCAAAGTGATTCCGCAAGACTGGGTGTCACCGAGTACTGTTCTAAAACTAGACGGTCAGGAATTAGCTGAAATTGACTGCTTCTCGTACTTACGTAGCTGCGTGACCGACGACGGTAGCGCATCAAAGGAGATAGCCATCTCCATTTCCAAGACTCGACCAGCGTACACAGGACTTAAACACCCGTAGCGTCGACATAACATATCACTAAAGTTGATAAGTCGAGTATAGTGCTTTCCTGTACGCTCATCTCTGCTTTACGGTTGTGAGACCTTGAATTTGTGAGTAGAAGACATCCATCGCCTAGTGGTTTTCGACAATCGATGCTTGCGTAGTCTAGCCCAAGTGGGATGGAGTGAGCGGGTTAGTAACTTTGAATTTGTTGGGTGCTTGGGAATGTACCGAACAAGAACTCGCTATCGCATCGAATTCAGCTTAATAGGCTCCGTTGGTTAGGATACGTTTTGCGTATGTCCGACGGTTGCCTACCGCAGCGCGGCTTATTCGCGGTGGCTGCTGCAGGCTAGAGAAAGCCACGTGGAGGCCAGCAGTTGACGTGAAGACGAGGCATGAAGAGATGCACAGAGCGATTAGATAGAGTAGGCGTCTTGTCTTTCGGGTTGGGGTCCAAAAAACTCCATAACCGCATGGTTGGAGACACTGAAGGCCATGGCTGCGAACCGACAGCAATGGTGACCATGCTGTCACTTACCAGACCAGAATGCTTAAACTAGTATGTATGCACAGTTGGGCTGTGTACTCTGTGTGTTGACCATAGAGGTTCGCTTTCTTTTCCCGTCCCCAAAATAGGCCCAATCCCTGTCCTCCTTACACATTCTCACTTGTCTTGTACGCTTGGCAGAGATCAATGAAGTTCGCTTCAGTGTATTACGTTGTAAAACGATGATGACGAGTCATTCACAGTATTCTAAACTAAACCTTTGGCTTGAGAGACCGTTGAGTTTTCCCTGGTTTTTGGAAATGCCTTTCATCTTGCGTTTTACTCCAAACAACGGTAGCAACGGGAAAATTTCACTTATGATCGAGGGGTTTGTATTAATTCTGTTTTACCGAATTCCTAAAGTTCTTGGGTTTTCCGGTCCTAGGTAATATTGCCACCATTTAACTTGGAAAAGTTTTAATTTTCAAACTTTCAAGTTCACCGGATCACCTTCGTGGTTAGCGGTTCATTCCCTTCCTCTGGTGCTTAGCTGATGGATAATAATCATCGAACATAATTTTTTCAAATGCCTCATTGAACTTCGTCCATGCCAAGCCACCGGGTATCGAGCAATACATGCTATTTCTAATCGCAAATTAGAAAATCGTTGTCTCAAACAGTGATAACTAATTTGATTCACACTTATTCATACTTCCATCACGACGGTGATGTTGCGGACATCTACCTGTGTGTTGACCAACTGTTGTTCGATGGAAATCGTTCTCGCGACCATTTCCTCATGCACATTGCTATCTAACTTTACTGTTTTTCATTTCCATCAGTCGTTCATTTTACCGACTCCTCTTAGGTTGCCTAGTGCTCGCTGTAATCAACGAGAATTTCACTATTTTTCCGTGCTCTCTTCGCACGTGCCGGGCAAAGCTGGAAGAAGCGCCGCGGCGGTCAGACCATGACATGGCATAGAGGTATGAAGAAGCTGGCTTCAGCCTTGGCTTCGGTTGGTGCAGCCCGCCAGGTTGATGCCCAAAGAATGAGGATTGTCAATGGTTAGAGACGCTGAGAGATACGACCCAGAATAGAAATCAGTGGCG